GTATTTGGAATATTGTTGACGAACGCAAAATGCCACGTCTAAGTGAAGCCAACCGTCATATCGCCATTGGTTTGCTTGAAGCTGGCCAGTCTCAACGTGCAGTTGCCCGACGCATGAATGTTCACCAAAAAGCACCATTTCACGGCTCTGGGAGAGATATCGCCGGCAGAATGCGGTAGCAGATGCCCCTCGTAGTGGGCGACCTCGAGCGACCACTGCGGCGCAGCATCGCTACATCCGGGTACATCACCTGCGTCATCGAACAGCTACGGCGACCAGTACCGCTCGACAAATACCCGGATTGAGGAGGCTTTCTGCACAGACCGTCAGGAACAGGTTGAGAGGCTGGTTTACGTGCCAGAGGACCTTATTTTGGCCCTGTGCTTCGACAACAACATCGTCGACATCGAGTTCAATGGTGCACCAACGTTCAGGCCTGGAACCTACCGAATTGGCGTAGAATCTGGTTCAGTGATGAATCACGATTTCTATTGGAACGACGCGATGGAAGAATGCGGGTGTGCAGACGTCGACGTGAACGTCTCCCCGACGCTTGCGTTCCCCAGGTGGACAGATTCGGCCGGGACAGTGTTATGATGTGGGGAGCGATCACCTGCCGTAGGAGAAGTGATTTGGTGATGATCCAGGGCAACCTGACAGCTCAATGGTACTGTGACGAAATCCTACGCCCACACCTCCTTCCAATCATTGATCGCCAGAGGGAGTTGTTTCAACAGGACAATGCCAGGCCCCACACAGCACGTCACACTAGAGACTTCCTCCAGAACCACAACATCAATGTGCTCCCCTGGCCCTCAAGATCATCGGACTTAAACCCGATCGAACATCTGTGGGATGCCCTGGACAGACGGGTGCGACGCCGTAACCCTCAGCCCCAGACACTTCAGCAACTCGCACAGGCACTACAGGCAGAGTGGGCTGCGATTGGGCAACACTAGATTCTGACGTCACCACATCGTCTCCATGTGACACTCAAACTGACTTTCCCTCGAGTTGGTGCCAAAGATGTATAAGTCTGAATTCCCAACCATCTGTTCAGCTATCCACAATCACTATCAAACATTTCTCAAGCGCTTCCACACCCAGTATTCCCAAACAAATGTCTAATCCTACCGCTACCAGTATATACAATCATCTGTCTATCCCTTTCACTACTAGTATCACTAATCATCTGTCTCGCCCATTCACTATCAATATTCCCAGCCATATGTCTATCCTTTTCGCTACCATATTATTAAATCATCTGCCTATACCTCCCACTATCAGTATTACTAACCATCTGTGTACCCCTTCCAATATGAATGTTACTAACCATCTGTCTATCCTTCCGCTACCAGTATTACTAACCATTAGTCTATCCCTTCCACTATCAGTATTAATAATCATCTGTTTTCTACCCCTTCCGCTACCAGTATTACTAACAATCTGTCTACCCCTTCCGCTACCAGTATTATTAACCATCTGCCTATCCCTTCCACTATCAGTATTAATAACCATCTGTCTACCCCTTCCGCTATCAGTATTACTAACCATCTGTGTACCCCTTCCACTATGAGTGTAACCACCCATCTATCTATCCTTCCGCTACCAATATAACTAACCATCAGTCTATCCCTTCCACTATCAGTTTTAATAATCATCTGTTTTCTACCTCTTCCGCTACCAGTATTACTAACCATCCGCCTATCCCTTCCACTATCAGTTACTAACCATCTGCCTATCCCTTCCGCTACCAGTATTACAAACATCTGTCTCGCCCTTACACTACCAGTATTAGTATTCCTAATCATCTCTCGCGGCCCGTTATTACCAGTATTCCCAATCATCTGTCTCGACCTTTCTTTAGCAGTATTCCGAATCTCCTGTCAACCCCTTACTAAAGTAGTATTCGTGATTATCAGTCTATGCATTCCACTATCAGTATTACTAACCATCTGTCTTTCCCTTCCACTATCTGTATTACTAACCATCTGTCTACCCCTTCCACTATCAGTACTACTAACCATCTGCCTATCCCTTCCACTATCGGTATTACTAACCATCTGTCTACCCCTTTCACCATCAGCATTGCTAACCATCTGTTTACCTTTCCGACTATCAGTATTACTAACCATCTGTCTACCCCTTCAACAATCAGTATTACTAACCGTCTGTCTATCCCTTCCACTACCAGTATTACTAATCATCTGTCTACCCCTTTCACTATCAGCATTATTAACCATCTGTCTACCCCTTCCGCTACGAGTATAACTAGCCATCTGCCTATACCCCCCACTACCAGTATTACTAACCATCTGTCTACCCCTTCCACTATCAGTATTACTAACCATCTGTCTATCCCTTCAACTACCAGTATTACTAACCATCTGCCTATACCTCCCACTACCAGTATTACTAACCATCTGTCTACCCCTTCCACTATCAGTATTACTAACCATCTGCCTATACCTCCCACTACCAGTATTACTAACAATCTGTCTACCCCTTCCACTATCAGTATTACTAACCATCTGTCTACCCCTTCCGCTGCCAGTATTTACAAACATCTGTGTCGTCCTTACACTACCACTATTACTATTCCCAATCATCTCTCTAGGCCAGTCATTACCAGTATTCCCAATCATTTGTCTCGACCTTTCATTACCAGTATTCCCAATTCTCCTGTCAACCCCTTCCTAAAGTAGTATTCCTGATCATCTATTTAGCCCATCCACTATCAGTATTCAAAATTATCTGTCTCGCCCTTTACGGCCTGTTTATCTGTCATATGTGCAAGGGGTACTACTCCTCGCCTCATCACAATCCATGTCCATTCCTTAAAGCTATCTGCTGGCCTTGTTTCCTTTACGCCTAGCATCGTGTTGTGTTTAGAGAGTCTGCTCTTGGGAAAGGTGATGGACACAATTGGCATCACAGTTCCTGAGTATATATTGCACAACGTGAAAATAATAAAACAACGCAAGCACCATAAGCAGAATAATTCCTAGACATCACAAACACAACAGTTTCCATCTCAGACATGCATGTTGGCTCAATTTCCGGTCGTTTCCTTCAAGTACCGCATTCTGATCGGGGGAGCAACAGGCTATCTAAATACGTACAAAGGTACATTTTATATAGGTACACGTTCACCTTAAATATTCAAATGGCTCAATTAAGGGGTATGAATTAAGAACATACTGGATAAGAATTAAGCACAAGCATTGGATTGCGATCCCTTGCTCGTTAGCATATAATCAGGCCTGGGAATTTAATTTACAAGAAAAAGCTGTCACTGAAGAGAATTCATTTGAATCAAACCTAAATCATAGGACATAACATAAATATATCAACAGTTGGGAATATGTGTTCTGTTAATAAGGAAAGTAAAAAAGTCTTGAAGTCACACAGTTATATTTGTAGAGGTCAGTAGCATCCCGTGCCAGAGACTCCCTAGCCCAAAACATATATATTTCAATTCCTATTTGTGTACAAATGTTATTTACAATCATACAGGATTGATTCACAAAGTTGATTGATTTTGTTTCCCACGAACAAACTACACACGCACGAGTCTTCACGCATTCTAATGGTTACATTATTATATATTTTCAAATTACGGTACTCGTTTGCAGTTGTCATCAACACTTTACAGACATATATTCACAAATTTGTTTAAAACAACAAATTTGCACGAATAAACGTTCACTTAATCCATAATCTAGTTGGGTTCGACTAGGCACTTTACGGTGGTATATTCAAAATAAACATTTGCAAGTCCTTCCTGTCTGACGAAGACGAAACTCCAAAATCTATCATACAGGGTAAAATTTCTGAAATTTTATGCCGCTTCACACGCGTAGGAAAATGCCTCTTGTAGTTTTTCTTGCTTTGTATATATAATGTATTTATTATAATGTACATAAAGGGCGGATGTAAAAATCTTTTTAGCTTCTTATGTTTAAATTTGACTGTGGTTTTATTGTTGCCATGATCATGCACTAGTGGGTGGACACTGACACCTATGAAGATGGACATCGGATCAAAGCCACATGAAAGTAAAAAACCCGAACCAAGCATCATGTCAATGTACTGGCCTGTGCCAACGCTGGGCATCCGTTCTCGAGGTGTTGGACAGTCTCATTAAATTCATAACACAATCGGCAATTCATATTTACATTCTGACGTAAAATCACACACTGACGGTTATGAGTGGGAAGTGACTGGTCCTGAGCAGCAAGCAGAAAGCCTTCTGTTTCACTTTTCTTGAACTCGTGGAATTTCAGGACATGCAACCGTTTCCATGCCGGTTTCATTGAATCTTCCCATTTGTTAACCAGTTTTAATTACTCCTAATGTGACCATGAATGGATTCCGCATACACTGATCTGTATAAGTTGCCTAGTTGGTTGGTTTGTTGTTTAAAGCCGCACTCAGCAATATTCCAGCTGTATGGCGGCCGTTTGTAAATAATCGAATCTGGACCAGACAATCCAGTGATCAACAGCATGAGCATCGATCTACGCAATTGGGATACCATGGCATGTGTCAACCATCTCAGCAACCCTGACCACCCGATCCCGTTAGTCGGCTCTTACGACAAGCATGTGTTGCTGAATACCAATTCTAACCCGGATCTTCACAGATATGATCTGTATAAGACGTTGTGAATATGTTATATAGCGACTCTTTAATTCTATTTTGTATCATATTTAATCTGTTAAGCCAGATACTTTCATTGATGTCAACGTCTTATTCTAGTATGATCCAACAGCCATCATACGTAATGTTGCCTTCATTATTCTAAACCGGCAAGCAAAACGATTATATCTAATCTTTGGTTTATTATATAGTGCCGTTTCTTTCGGAATGTACCTAATTTAACAATGTTGTTATAGATGAAATCACTTTTGATGATGCATGACATGTAATTATGAAAAGTAATAATTTAGTCGCTTAACAGCTTACAGACTTTCATATTGCTTTTATATGACACACAGCAGGAATTAGAGGGTTACGAAGGTTATCAAGATCAAAGTTGGATTATCGGCCGCCGACGGGATTTGGTGGCGGTCTCTCACGGATGTTGTTAAAGAAAAATGGATGAGATGTAATCATATGACGGAATGATGAGGAGACGCCGAGAGAAACATGCGCACAACGACAGAACGTCTTTCTTATTCAAATGTGCAACAAACATGATGTGGGCAATAAATCTTTTACGCTCTGCTACCCTGGTAAAAATAACTATTTTGATTCAAACCTCTGTAAAAACACATAGTCCTTGAATATAATCGTACACACACATCAAATATGTCGTGAGTGAGTGAGTTTAGTTTTACGCCGCACTCAGCAATATTTTAGCTATATGGTGGCGGTCTGTAAAGAATCGAGTCTGGACCATGCAATCCAGTGATCAACAGCATGATCTGCGCAATTGGGAACCCATGACATGTGTCAACCAAGTCAGCGAGCCTGACCACCCGAACCCGTTATTCGCCTCTTACGACAAGCATAGTCGCCTTTTGTGGCAGGCATGTATTGCTGAAGACCTATTCTATCCCGGATCTTCACAGGCAAAATTTGTCGTGAAGGAACATGCGACTCGTGGAAGCCTGATTCTACTTGTGGAACATTGAATAACTAAAGCGAAAAAGCAAAAGCATCAGACTGAAAGGCACTGTTTGAAGTGCGATAAGCCACTATCAATCTAACCAATGTATCCATGCATAATCCCAGGAATGTGGAACATTTACCAATAAAACATGCTCCAATTTTAAATGCTGATGTTAACATGAACAGAACCATATCCCAATAGACAATGTAACAATAATGAAAACGTAATCGGCAGAGTCGTAACTTAAAACAGATATATGTACTAAATCTACAGAATTCATGGTATCGAAATGTAAACGTGAAAAATGTGGAATTTATTATGTATAGTTGGGGCCCGAAGAGCCCATGTGTGGCCGCCTATGTTATATCTGGACTCTCTCTCTCTATATATATAATATAGCTAATGTTTATGCACTTATATTCAGGGACATAAACTGGAAACAAGCAGGGGTACTATTGTGGGCTGCCCTCCCTCATTATAGCTTTTGGATGGTAGATACAAAGAAATATATGTTGAAACAGAATCACAAAATTATGTACACGTATATAATTCCACAAGCAGGAAGCATGCTTTAAACAACAATGAAACAAAACTCACTCATAGGTTACCATACCGGCTGAAGCAATCGTATAATGCCTTCTATAATTCAAAGTTAGAGCAAAGCCATTCACTTTGTAGCTTAACATTGAGTCCCTTTAAAAGTTAGAGATATTCGTTCAAACGCAACTGCTGTTACAATTACTGCCTTACATTTATGATCGCATGACACCTCTAAATGACCATAGACATTAGCGTCATTACTAACGTCAGAAGTGGTTTTATGATTACAAAAAAAACGTTCACACGTTAATCGCAGGTATACGACCGATGTCAAGGCAATAGTTGATAGCAGTCCTTGTTTTACACATTTATAACTTACAAGTTGCTGCTCATTTAATTTATTCATGCCTACAAATTTGATGGGCCCGTTTTATCACTAATGAAAATGCACAAGCATTTCTCTCCCGGCTGAACAGGACAAACAGCCCAAACACGAGGCACACATAAAAGAAGTTTGCTTGACATTGTCTCTAAGTAGATGACAGTGGGATGTCCATGTTAAACTGCGGCATGGGCTAGAACTGACATTGGTCGGGACAAGACCAAACATCCATGCAAATACGTTGACTGCTTGACTTTTCCCAGGACGACATGGGTCATCGGTAATAGAAAGAGATTATGTTTCATGTAAAACGTCACCAAATGCACGCAGACAACGCAGCATTGTAATTGTAACCAGCCATTCTTAAGCTTGGTCTAGATGTTCACCAGTTAGTGTACATTGGTACACAGACACACATTTGATAAGGAGGGGCAAAAATGTTAAATGATATAAGTTACTGGTAATCTGGTCGACGTCTTATGTACATTACAATAACTTGATGGCATGGAAATGTTCGAGTCTAGACCAGGCAGCCAGTGGTTGATGGCTGTCATTCATGCACATTGGCATAGAGATGCATAATCTGTCGCTGTAACCAGTTGTATCATGACTGATTCTGATTCTGAGTTTAGTTTTATGCTACAGTCAGCAATATTCCAGCTATATGGCTGCGGTCTGTAAATAACCGAGTCACAAAATGGCTTGATTCTGCTTCGTTAATGAAGTAAACCTTTCCTCGCTGATGCGTCTATAAAATTTAACCTTTTCGCACAAAACAGGACCGAGGAAGTGGCGATCTTTGGACAACCTACATAACGGTGGATATGACAGTTGGTGCCGATAACCCATCAGAATGTTGGATACATTCTAAAGAAACGCTTACAGAAAACGCACAGAAAAATGAAATAAAATGAATTGAATAACTTCTATCTCAGTCATAATACAACAGCTGACTACATAATTTCATGTTAACGAACAGTCGTGCAACGAGTGCTGCGGTGAATCCATTTTTGACGAGCGTTTTGTAGACACAAACCCATCCCATGTGCGTCTTTATAAAATTACAATCTGGACAGACTGAGTGGGTCTTATCTCGCACATCGTGAGAAAGGTTTCTTGCACACCCATGGGATCAAACATTCGTGAGATCAATTTCTCATGCAGTCATTGCCTACTCCAAGGTGATGACCTAGGGTCAGGTTATTTGGGACTACTTCCTTGATTAAAATTGATTGATAGGTTACTCGTGCTTCAAACGATCAGAAACCTGTTACTAGTGCAACACCTTAACACCTACCTGTTATTTTCGCAATTGCAATATAAACAGGTATTTATACAATAAAACACAATCAGAATAAATATGGCACGAATGTAGTTATTTTCGTGTAATTCCGTGTGTTAGTCCGTGTGTCGAACCACACAACAGCCAGCCTTTATATATACTGACACAGATTCTCGAACTTTCCAGCAAAGCATGGCTGTATCATTAACCACTTTCTCAAAATCGCTTGGAGACTCTGCAACATGACGATGTCAACACATAAACATCCGGTCAAGGGAGGTAACTAGTGGAGGGTCACCTTGGGGATGAATACTGATTACGAAGCCAAGTAATTCATAAACGTTGGATTGCGTATTATTGCGCAGCTACGATGAGACGATATGGAAATTATATCTATTCGATCATAAAATGGTGCGACTTTATTGTGTGTAAGAAACAGATTACTATACTCGAAACGGTCAGATACCATGTATGTTACAAGTCGTTGTTTCAAAACGTATTTAACAAGCTTTCACTCATTAAATATATTTTGAAACAACTCGGGTAATATGAGTGGTATCTGACAGAAACTCGTTTAGTAATGTCTATGTATACAACTGAACGTCATTCAACAAACGTCCTTTCACAGGTTCAGTGCAGTTGTTAAATTTTATGGCTTTCTACTGAAAGGATACCACTACTGAAAAAACCACTATCGTTATCGGGAGTGTTTTCATTGCGCAAGAGCTTTGTCCTAGCTGTAACGCTGAACACACAGACGACATTATAACAGTCTCGTACTTGACGGATTCTCATTATGCAAAGGCTTCGTGCTAGCTATAACACGGAACACAACACGCCACAATCGTGTACTTGACGGATTCTCATTGTGCAAAGGCTTTGTGCTAGCTATAACACGGATCACATCACGTCACAATCATGTATTTGACGGATTCCCTGGGAACACCTTCTCCGGAAGAATATGCTCGTATGTCACCACCACCAGCGCCGACTATATGTGAATATGGGACGTTAGTACAAACGTATGATATAACATAGACACTCCCATTCCCCGAGAATACATTCTTCTCCCGAAGGCTATATCCACCAAAAGAAATAAGGAGGTGTTTTGTGGTTCGTTGGGCAAAACAACAATTTAACATGAGGAGCGAATTTCGTCTTATGAAACATTATTGCTGTAGTTATGCAAACAAACTGAGATATAAAATAGTACGATTTGAATCGACCTACAAATAAATGCTTGAGCTAACAATATAGGAACAAAAGACCTGTAGGTACCTATTTTCAGATATCTATTCAAATATAAACGTTAAGTAAAATCGGTATGCACTGAGTGTTTATTGAATACAGATCAGTATCCATGATGACATTGCCACGACCACAGCTTAAAATTAAAGTTATTGGATGACGAAGGCCTTTGTAATTAACAATGTTTTCAGTGAGAATCTTGTCAGTGAGATGACTTCACGTCAGATGTGTCGCACCTAAGCCCATGCTTGCTTGTAATGCGGGATCTCGGGAACATAGCTTATTGTTAAAAAATGATACTTTTCAAAGGTGTTCAGACTAATTTAATATCATATTATATCATGGAATATACACACCAGAATCAAAACTATCAGTAACTGTGTTTGAAACTTAAACATTTTTAGTTAAGAACCAAAAGGAACATGTGGACAATAATTTAATTATTCTTGTGTTGAATTCAGCACATGAGGATGATAGAAGGGTTATGCACAAGGACATTACTTTCGTTGACATGAACTTTAAAGAATTATTCAAAAAGTCGAAACGGGAAACGCCTTCTGTGTTCAGAAGGAAATGATATCAAATGTGAGGGCACACAAACTGTGACGCTTTGACATTTTTAACTGTTTATTGGCTTATGTGTTTCATAAAATATTTATAAGAGGACGTTTTTCAATACATTAATATTATGAAGTAGTAAACATGGAGATAGTCATGTTGGTAATATGACTAAAGTCAGCAGGAAATTTGAAACAGTCTCTTGAAAATAAAAGTGTCTTTGGATACATAATTTGTCATAGATTCGTCAGTCATACAGAGTCTTCCCGTTCACGTAGTGCAGGAGCTGACCAATCGATTCTTCTCGATAAATTGCTACATTTGCTCTTCCTCTTCCTATAAAATTGATGTATAAACATTGTAGTGGGGGGATATGATATTATAGTTGTATCATAACTGTATATGTGTCATGTTAGTGAACGTTTGCACATATTGTTTCAAATAAACCCCACACGGTTGTATTAAATAGAAGTTGAAAATGCTATTAGTCCTGAAGGTTTTGTATGACATGCCGACCCTTCATAATGGCCAGGTATG